TTAAGATTTAGTTTACTATGAATTGTATTGCTATAAACATGGGTACGCATGTACCACTATAATATGATGTCTTTAACTCTTTTGAGACAATACCTAGAAGGGGAATAGCTAGATTGAATGGAATTTCTATTTATAGTTTTGTGAGGACTCTCCATACTGATTTCCACCACGGTTTCCTAGTTTACATTCCCACCAGTAATGTAAAAGGATTCCTTTTTACCTGCAGCCCCGCCAACATTTGTCATCATGTGATTTCCTGATGATGGCCATTCTTTTTGGAGTAAGATGGAATCTCACTGTTGTTTGAGTTGGCATTTCTCTAATAGATATTGAACATTTTTTATGTATTTATTTTCTATTTGTACTTCCAGTAAGTCAACACCTTTGCATTTTATTGTACTATCAGTTCTTATCAGTGCCACAACTCCAAAGGTAGCAAACTGGTCGGGGTATATCCTGTGCAGACCAGCAATTTGACTATGTCAGTGTAGTCATAGGTAATTAGAGTCTGGGAGAGAGCCGGGTGAGGCTGAAGCAGTGACCAAAATATTTGTGTTACCCGCTCCTTTTTTAAGTACATAGTTCCTTTGGATGAATTATCCATCAGAGGACTATTTAAAGAATCTAGAATCAGATATAGAAATATAATGACCTGGAGCATGGAAGTGAGATATTTCACTTAAGCTCTGGGAAAATCCAGTGTGATATTCCTATTTTACAGCAAAATACACACCCCTGTAGTAATCTAACAGCTTATACCTTTCAGATAGATCCAGGATCACCCTCATGTTAATATTTCATACATTTTGCCTTTCTGAACTACATTTTTAAAAGTGTATTGAGATATAATTGATATATAAATGAACATGTTTAATGTATACATTTTGTTGAGTTTAAACCTATGATACCATCACCGCCATCAAGGTACTAAACACAACTGTTACCCTTCAAAATTCCCTTGTCTGAACTATATTTTTGTCCTTGATGCCCTCTTTCTGGTTATCTCCCCATATAGGTAATTAGGTTCCCTAGTTGTCCCTTTGTACACCTTTGAATAGTCCATAGCAAAACACTTTGTATGTTCTGAGCAATTAGTAAATATTTGTGAAATGTTTGTTAAAAGAATAATTACCATTTTAACTTAACATAGATTCTCTTTTCTCTGCATATTTATTTAGTTTGGTAATTATGGAAATCCTTTTTTTCCAGTCCTGGGGATTGTTAAACCAAGGGCTTCATGCATGGTAGACAAGGATTCTGCCGATATAGGGGAAATAGTATAACTCCCAACCTGCGAGATGTCAGATACAGCAAGTTCATGTTCCCCAAAAATCGAAGAATGAATTCTAAGGAATGACAGATGTTAAGAGTAGGAAAAAATGATTGAGAGAGACAGCTCCTGAGAGACAGGAGGGGACCTGAAAGTGGGTTGCCTACTAGCCCACTTCTCAAAGGAAGTTTTATAGAGCAAAATCACAAGGTGGGTACAACATGGGTCAAAACTATGATCAACCAGTAAGATTACAAGTACAGTGCCTTAGGTAATATTGATCCAGTGGGGAAGCAGGTCACGGAGCAAAGGTACATGGAAAGAACAAGGACCTTTTTAGGAAGGGATGGACCGGGAGGTCCTGGTCACCCTTCTGGGTGACTGATTTTCATCTGGACTTTATTGGACCAAATGATACCAATTATAGTATAATCTTCAATTTATTGCTTATCTCTTGGAGAGGAATGTAGGCCTGGTCATTTCATCTTTCTTTCTTGAGGCCTGGCCTTCAACAAATGCTCCTCCAGCCGCAGTTGTAAGGTGTTCTCACTTTCTGCACTGACTCCTCCGAGGGCCCGGCCCTTCCTGTCTGACGGCCCTAGCACATTTCTACCTAATTGAGTTGACTATACCCCTAACCCCTAAATATCTTAGCTCTAATTACTTATCGGTAATGTAAGCTTGTGGCTTCTACCTAGTAAGTTAGCACCTTTCCACATATGAACTAAGAATATGTTAGGTAGAATAACTTGTTTAAAGGTAATAAACCTTTGACTATATTTTAGAAATAAAGATAATACTGAAAATTTCTTACCATCTCAGTTATTTTTAGCTGGAAGAGCTCAGCTCTGTTATGCTTATTTCCTTAAATCTAAAATCTATTTTGCAGGCCCCTTTTTTCCAAATTATGTGACTTTTCTGGTATTTAATTAATGAAGTTCTTCATGATAACTGAATCCAAACAACTTGTATTTATTTAGTGCAGTTTCCTTGACGTTTAAGGAGCTTGGATAATCAATAAGAAAAAAAAACCTATTTGAATTGCTAAGTAATCCTACAAACTCTTCCCTCCTTCCCCAGAACTCTCATGAATCACAGTTATTAAATATCCACACTCCTCAGGAGATAGCTGTGGCTTATCCAAAAGCTTCAGGAGACCTGCTCTGCTACAGAAAGCTTTATGGTCTTGAGTAAGTCACCTAACCAAACCAGTTTCTTCACTTATAAAAGGAAGATATCTATTATGCTAGATGATCCAGCCATCCGTTTTGTTTCACATCTAGATGTCCACTCTTCAAATCTGGCTAACAGATTATGCCAAGTGAAGAACAGCAGTTTTCATGTTAAAGACAGCATCAATTTATAAAATTGGGGATATATATATCCCCAATCCTGTAATGCAATGTTCACTAAATTTGAGTAATTTATAGACCTGCCCCCTCTTTTCTTTAGATCATTTTTAAAGGAAAATAGTAATTATGGCAGCCTCTTTAACAGTTTGGCCACACATGCTTAAATATACAGGAAATACCTAACTTAGCAGATTTCCACAGTGACATATACAAGTGGTCCCCCAAGCTCCAGCTATCAGCTCAACCTAAAATGTTTATTTTAAAACCCAAAATAGGAGGGAAAAAAAAACAAAAATAGGGCCAGGGATTTAGCTTAGTGGCGCCACACCTGCCTCAGAACACAAGGTCCTGAATTCGATCCCCGATACAAAAAAAAAAAAAACAGCAACAAATAATAGACTAACCCAGAAGGAAAGAGATGTACTTTTCCTTCTCCCTTCTTGTACCTTTCAGCCCTTGTGGCTCAGGACCATAAAACTTTGGCCAGAACTATGTTCTTAAACTTGTTATATAACCTGCAGATATATAAATTTATGTATGTTCACACATTGAAACATATGTAACTAAATGGAATGTATGCCATTGTTTTCTTATGCTGTTTCATGTTTTAATGCTGCTTATGAGGCACCAAATTTTACAACTAAATCTTCTCCCTATTTATAATACTTATTATAGAAAATTCCAAACCTCTAGACAGACAATATGAAATTAAAATTTTAGAAAATGACTTATTTAAAAATTAAAGAATGCAATGAATGGATAAAGAAGATGTAGTTTTGTTTTGTTTTGTTTTTTGTATGGGGATTGAACTCGGGACCTTGCACTTGCGAGGCAGGTGCTGGAACAACTGAGCTAAATCCCTGGCCCAAAGTTGTAGTTTTTTAATACAATGGAGTACTACTCTGCCATAAAGAAGGATAAATTGAAACATTTCTAGCTAAATGGATGCAGCTTGAGACCATACTCTTAAGTGAAATAAATTAGACACACACACACACACACATATATATATATATATATACACACACACACACCACATTGTTTCTCTGGTGTGAGAAACCAAAAATATAAATAAGGACCAAAATATATAAAAGATATTGGGAAATGAGAAGAAAATGTTCCAATGAGAAGGGGAACAAGGGAGCGGGGAGAGAGAAAAGAAAGAAGGAACAAGAAAAAAAAAGAATAGAAGGAAAAAATGCAAGCAAAGCTTTTGTAAATAAGGAGGGGAAGAGGAGTGGAAGGGAGAGGAGGGGAATGGGAAAAAAGGAAGAAGCAAGATACATCACGTACAGGTACAAATTCCCTATGATGAATGTTATCATTGTGTATATCTAAAATGCACTGGCCTGGGGATTTAGCTCAGTGGTTCCACCGCCTGCCTCCCAAGTGCAAGGTCCTGAGTTTGATCCCCAGTCCCAAAAAAAAATGTACCAATAAAATTTAAAAATAGTTTAAAGAAAAAAATAAAAATAGAAGAATGTCTGTGGACTTATACCTCTCTTCTGTAAGCCTCACTGATTCAGATCGATTTGGTAATTTGATATATGTAGTAATTTTAAATGGGGCTACTTCAGGTCCAACCCGAACTCCATAGTAAGACCTGTCTCAAAAAAATAAAAATAAAACAAATATTTTAAACAAATAAATTGTAATATCTGTTTCAATAAATGTGGTGAAAATTCCTATGTAGAATAATGACACCTGATCACAATTTCTTTACCTAGTAGCTGGCAAGTTCCTTTGACTTCAGCTTTAGATGATTTCTAATTTTTGTTAAATAATAAAAAAATTTACAGAGTCAAGGAAATATAGTATTAAATATAAGTTTAATTTTTGGACCCTGGCTTATTTTCTTTGTGATCTTCTCATGCAAATAGAGCTGTATTTTACAAATTTTGTGCTGACCTGTACACAATGGCTTTAAAAGTTTTTAGAAAACTGTAACTATCACCCAGTGAAAATGATAAACATCAGCGTTTCAGAAAAATAGTAAATATCAAGATTTGGGGTAAGCCAGATTTAGAAATTAAAGTATATAGAGCTGTTTTATGCAGAGAAAATCATTTATAAATGTTTTTCATAAACTATTAATGTTGTACGAAATGTGACCCAAGACACACTGGGATTAAAAAAAGAATTATCCTTTATGAGATTGTGTAGTGAGAGTTCTCTAACTTAGAATTAGTATCATTTATCCTTTAAGAGGTTTTGAAGATGTTTAGAGATTCTAGAGTTATTAGAAAAGGAGTTCTTTGGGCACACAGTTCCCATTCGGTGATTGCAGACTTCCTTACCTGTGGATGGATGAGCACTTTAGGCAGAAGAGAACTTCTAATGGTGTTGCCATGTCTTCTCCCTCCGCCTCATTCCTGTAGGTGTACCAGCATTCGACCAGGAGAGACTGGAATGGATGTAACAAGTCGCTGCACCCTTGGAGACCCCAACAAACTTCCAGAAGGGGTTCCCCAACCTGCCCGCATGCCCTATATTTCAGACAAGCACCCTCGACAAACCTTGGAAGTGATTAACCTTCTGAGAAAGCACCGGGAGTTATGCGATGTGGTACTAGTTGTGGGCGCTAAGAAGATATATGCGCATCGAGTCATTCTGTCGGCCTGTAGTCCCTACTTCCGAGCTATGTTTACAGGAGAATTGGCGGAGAGCCGTCAGACAGAAGTGGTGATCCGAGACATAGACGAGAGGGCTATGGAACTACTGATTGACTTTGCGTATACCTCCCAGATAACTGTAGAAGAAGGCAATGTTCAGACCCTCTTGCCAGCTGCTTGTCTCCTCCAGCTCGCAGAAATACAGGAAGCCTGTTGTGAATTCTTAAAGAGACAATTAGATCCTTCTAACTGCCTAGGCATTCGGGCTTTTGCTGACACACATTCTTGCCGTGAGTTGCTAAGGATAGCAGACAAGTTCACTCAACATAACTTTCAAGAGGTGAGTTGTACTTGGTGGTTTGAATGCATTTATAACCTATTTTTCATAAGATCAGTATGAGTTCACATTCTACTAACTTTGGCTTGGATATTTACAGCTGGTTCTAACTTATAATGTTACCAAAAAATATTATAAATTCTAAGCCTGGTTTTTATTTTAAAAGCTAATTTTGTATTCTCTCAGCAAAAGCTGTTTCTCCCTGGCCATATTCATAAAAGGCTATTGTATAAGCTAAAATACAGTTCATTGATTTATAAGATCTGTGCCTGATAGGCTAGCTGGTCTAAGTTAACATAAAGTACTTCCTTCCTGAATTATTCAGCAGAATAAATTATAGCTAGAGGTTATTTGGTGAACTAATCATAAAAAGTGAATTTAGATGATCTCAAAAGAATTTTCATTAACTCTTTTTCATTTATCCATTAACAAATATTTATAAAGCTACTGTGTTTCATCCACTGTGCTTGGGAACATAGACTATAGTAGTGAAAAGAAACCCAGTCTTTACTCGAGTTTATAGTCTAGTTAATCTAGTTTCTGATGCATAATCATATACATAATTAATTATAATTAGTGGATGCTACAGAGAAGCATCCCTGAATGATTTAAAAGTGCACAAAAAGGGGCCAGGGATTTAGCTCAGTGGTTCCACTGCCTGCCTTGCAAGCACAAGCTCCCGAGTTTGATCCCTGGTACCAAAACAAACAACAACAACAAAAAGTGTACAGAAAGATTAACTTTGGTTCTGGAACAGTTCATGCCAGATCCTGAGACATCAATAAGCATAACTGATTTGAAGAAGTGAAAAACCCAAGTGAGACCCAGATAGCTAGGAGGAAGGTGTCATATATAAAGAACTCACAGAAAAAAGAGGGCCCTATCACACTAGAGTTGATAAACTATGTTAAGAATTTAAGATTTAATCTTTTAAAATAATAGAAAACTATTAAAGTATTTAAGCAAAAAAAAGACATGGTCAGGGCCAGGGATTTAGCTCAGTGGTTCTACCACCTACCTCTCAAGCACAAGGTTCTGAGTTCGAACCCCAATACTCCAAAAAAAAAAAAAAAAGGCATAGTCCATCTTACACTTTAATATCACTCCTTTGTCTACCAGTATAACCTCCAATGGATCAAAGACTTAAACACACAAAATGAAAAACATGAAAATATTAGATGACGTAAGCGATTCCTTCATAATCTTAAAGAAGGACTTTCTGACGGACAAATCAGAAAGAATAGAAAATAAAACAGATTTGACCACATAAAACAAAATTTTCTACATGGTAGAACAAAGCTACAATACTAACTGAAACGTCAAAGACAAACTGAAGGAAAATCCTTGCAATTGATATCACAGACAAAGGTTAATCTACTTAATATATCAAGACCTCCTTTTGGTCAATAACCGAGACCAGTGAGCTAAACGAAAAATGGGCAGTAAACAAAAAAACAAATTCAAATTGCCCTTAAATATCTCAAAGTGCTCAAGTTTGTTCAAAATAACTGAAACAAAAAATTAAAACTATACTACCATGCCAAAGTACCATTTTTTATTGATCGTATTACAGATATCTCAAAGTTTGATTGTGTACCCTGTTGAGAAGACCATTGGGAAATAGATATATTGGTGGCATAAATATTAATTGCCACAACCCTTTTAAAAGGAAACTTGGTGGTATCAATCAAAATTATACACTTTTTGCATATAGTTTTTGACTCAGTACTCTCCCTTCTGGGAATTTGTATGACAGATAATGGAGAATAGAACAGTTTGACAAGGTAAATCATATGTCCTTTTTTCAGTATTGTGATAGTTAGCTGTTGTGTCAACTTGAGTAAGAAATGCCCAGTTGATTGGATTAGCATAGTTCTGGGTGTGGCTGAATAGTTACTGAAGAGACAAAACCCACCCTGGGTGTGAGTGGCACCAACCAAAAGGCTTATGGCCTGAATGGAATAAAAAAGGGAACGAAGAAGTAGTAGCTTCTGTTTCTTCCGAAGAGCTCCAGTCTTTGCCTTTGCCTTCACCTTTGCTTTGGATGTCAGTGTACTCTTTAGCCTTCCCCCACAGACCCTTTGGCCTACTGATATGGACTCACATGGGACTCTACAGGGAGCTCCAGGCCTTTGACATTTGACAGCCCTTTTGCACTCTTCCATACCTGACTCCACAGATGGCCATTGTCAGCTTAGCTTGTAAATCCTTAGGTATTTATAAATCTTATATTTAATCTGTTTCTCTAGTGAGCACTGACTGATACGGATATGTACAGTTTGAAATGCCTGTGAGATAGCTAAGTAAAGATTTTTTTTTTTTTTAGTACCGGAGATCAAACTTGGGTCCTTGCACTTGCAAGGCAGGCAGCGGAACCACTGAGCTAAATCCCCAGCCCTAAGTAAAGATATTGTACAAGCAACTGTTTGTAGGAGTCTGTTCCTTAGAAGAGAGATTAGGCTGAAATTAAAATTTAGGAATATTAACAAGCCATGACCTCATCCTTTTTAAGCAGAATATAACCTAGGAAGGGTAAAGGAAAAAATGAACACGTTCAATTGCATAAAAATGTAAAATGTTTTATATGCTATATATTCTAGGAAGCTTCTGAAAATTAGTATTAGGGCAAAAGGCCCTAAAAATATTAAGGCATTACAAACATTTTGGTACTAGAGAAAGAACAAATTGGGGCATTTGAAAAGAATCCAGAAGTAGGCATTTTAACCCAGTGGAAGAAAGTGGAATTATTTAATAAATGTCATTAGGATAAATTGCAATTTGGGGGAAATTATAAATACCTTAAACAGATTAAAATTCTAATAGATAATTTAAATCTAAAAAAAGTTTTAAAGTTCTGGAAAATAGCACTGTCAGGGAATGAAGATCTTAGCAGGATATAACCCAGAAACCATTAAGAAAGAGATTAATAAATTTAATTTTAAAAAGTTAAGATTTTGTTGTTCTTTTTTTTGGTACCAGGGATCGAACTCGGGTCCCTCCGCTTACAAGGCAGGTGGCAGAAACACTGAACTAAATCCCTGGCCCTTTTTTTTTGTTCTTTATAACAATAAAAAGTACCGTAACTGAAGATTGATGCCAAACTCAGAAAACCTATTTGGAACACAACAGAAAAAGCACTAATTCCCATAAAGCTCTTACATATTTAGTAAATAAAAAATAGGCAAAGTGTGTGAATGAGCAATGTATAAAAAATTCAAATAGGGGCCAGGTTCAGTGGTTCTGCCACCTGCCTCGCAAGCACAAGGTCCCGAGTTCGATCCGTAATACTGGAAAAAAAATTTCAAATAGATAAGTAACATGTGAAGAAATGCCCAGCCTCACCTATTATTAAAGAAATAAGCATTAAAATAAGATACTGGGCCAGGGATTTAGCTCAGTGGTTCCGCCGCCTGCCTCGCAAGCGCAAGGACCCGAGTTCGATCCCCGGTACCAAAAAAATAAATAAATAAAATAAAATAAAATACTTATCAGACTGAATAGATTTGTAAATTTTATTTGAAAAAATCCAAATTTTTAAGAAATTGTAGAAATAAAATAAAATTTTCATATATCCTTTCCCAAAATTCACCATTTGTTAACATTTTGCCTCATTTGCTTTGTCATTCTCTGGTATATAAATTTTTTCTGAATAATTAGTGTATACATATATGACATTCCTTTATTCTCAAACACTGCTTTATTCCCTTCATATTCCTTTACTCCTAAACACCTATTATGATGGTTGCAAATTGGTGATTTTTTAAACTCCTATTTCCTATTTACATTCTTTTACAAAAAAAGGACTTCGTTGTCCCTCATTGGTGCTTGAATTATTAGCACTATATTCATGGGTTTAATCTGCCTATATGCATGGGACCCTGAATTAATCTTCAGCACCACCCCAAAAAAAGCACTGCCTTAGAATCTTTTGGGGTGATGATAATGTTCTGAAACATCTTCATTGTGGTCACAATTACCTTTATCAAAACTCATTGAATGTTATGTTTAAAATAAATAAAGTTTATTTTAGAAATACCCTGCTTTACCCATAACTTTAAGATCTAAGGTATTCACAAATATCAGGAGATATTCTTTTTTTTTTTGGTACCAGGGATCGAACTCGGGTCCTTGCGCTTGCACAGCAGGTGGTGAAACCACTGAGCTAAATCCCCAGCTGGAGTTATTCTTAATAGTAGAGAAAGTTCTGAAATCTTCCAGTTCTAGCTTTGCCTTCAAAATCAATTTTATATGCCATGATGAAACCCTAGTGAGGAAACTACCTGTCATCATGGATAGAATGGGTCCATGTAAGTGCAAAAAAAGATCACCATTTGGGATTTAACAGTTATAACTCATTTAAATTCCTTTCTTTTAAATCTTTTAAATCTATATCTAATTTCCTTCCATTTCATTAGACCCAGATGAATTCATATAGTATTATTCTTGTCTAAATTTTAAAACTGTCTGTAAACTCAACAATGCTAAATTCACCATATACTTCTGTTAGAATAACTCTAGATGACTTGCATATTCATCCCTGTTAGTTTTCAGCTTTATTCAGTCTTGAAATAGCATCTGCATTCACCTGAAGAAACTCAGTAAGCCAATTACCATAATGGCATGGGGCTTAAAGTTCAAATCTCCTCTAAACTCTTATTTAAGAACAGATGTTTTGAAGGATTATTTTCTTTTTCTTTTTTTCCTTTTTTTTTTTTTTTTTTTTTGGTACAGGGGATGGAACTCAGGACCTTGCACTTGCAAGGCAGGTGTGGTGCCACTGAGCTAAATCCCTCACCCAGAGCATCATTTTCTTAACTTGATCATTTTGTTAAAGAATTTACTTCATTCCTAGATTTACTGTAATGCTATATCACTAATCTCTTTTTCTTGGTGGAAGAAAAAGAAGTATAATTTTAACTAGACTTTATCTATCAAGAGTTATTTTTACTTTCTGTTCTTGCTTGGTGGGAGATACTTTCTCACACATTTTCATGTCTTTCTACTATCTTATGTTTCCATTAAGTATGTTAATATCACAGTGGTTTATTCATAAACTTTAATCTTGGTTAGCATAGCCATTTATGTAATATTCAGTTTTTAATAAGTATGTTGAAAAATTTTATACTCTGATAAGATTTAAATATAAATTTTGGAAGACTTCCTTTAAATTTTGGACACCATTGCTAAAATAGCCATTAAAAGGATTGCAATACAAAGTTCAGAAGAAACAGTGCTGAGTAATCAAGAAAATGTCTCCACTTGTACTTAAGTGAAAAAACAGAAAAATAAGAAAGGAGAAGGTAAGATGCAGCCATGGATAAAGTCTTGTAAGCTATGAAGACCAACACTCCTAGTAGAACTAGACCCCAAATTTGGCTTTCGATATTATAGCCCACCCTCCACCCCACCAACATAGTGTTGCCAGGTAAAATGCAGTATTCCTACTTAAATGTAAAGTCCAAGCAGCAAATAATTTGTAGTATAACTTGTCCAAATTTATGTGCTAAATCTGGAAACCATGCCCGAGAGAGTAAAATGCAACCAATTTAATTACCAAGTTGTCTAAGCAACCTCAGTGTTATTTATGGTTTATATCTAGATGTCCCTCCAAAATCTCATGTGCTCTTAGGTGAGACTTTGGGGAGGTAATTGGATCATGGACTGCATACTCATCAGTGGATTAGTCACTGATAAGTTTATATCTAACTGTGATGTTGGGAGGTGAAACCTGGTTGGAGGAAGTGGGTCACGGAGAGGGCAGTGACATGGAAAGGCATTTCCCCTACCTTAAGACTCTGCTTCCTGCCTGCCATACCATGAGCAGTTCCCCTCTGCCATGCCACCCTGTCTTGGAGCCAGCAGACTAGGGACTGAAACCTCTACAAACTGAGCCAAAATAAATCTTTTCTTCTGTAGGTTGTAGGACTCAGGTGTTGATTCTCAGTGATAAAGTAACTAAGATGGGCCAGAGATTTAGCTCAGTGGCACCTCGCCTGCCTTGCAAGTGCAAGGTACTGAGTTCGATCCCTGGTACAAAAAAAAAAGTAACTAAGATACTCAGCTAAAATTAAAGGTAACTAATTTATTTCCTGAACCCTACAAAGTCTCTCATAATTTGCAGACTTGTGCCATTAAAAAATATAACTGACCTGCCTCACAAGCACAAGGTCCCAAGTTTGATCCCTGGTACCCCCCCAAAAAAATATAACTGACCTTGTACCCCTTTGCTGTTTTGATATCTGCACTTTTTTTGTAATAAGTTAGTTTTTAAGAAACATTCTTAAATCAAATATTCAAATTATTATGACATATCTCATTTCCTGATAAATATTCTGACTCTTTGATGAGCATGAAAATAACTGTCCCAAGAAAAATCCATTGTCTGCATTAGAAGCAGCACAGTAGGAATTTGAGCTCTTAACCATATCCTGCCTGCATTAATAGGCATCACATATAGCACACAACCTCCTGAATGACAGAAAAAACCACATAGAGGATAGCAGTAACTGTTTCCTTTGCCTGCCTCTTTTACTCTATGTCTTGATAAATAGACTTAAAAGATTTTGGAATTTGTGATTGGCCTGGGCAACAAGATAATGTCATTGTTGTCTTTTCATCTCCATTCTGACAGTTTCCTAGACTTGGGGAAAGATAAATTATGGGTGGCTTTATAGTTCCACATAGACTATATATCAGAATAGTTTGGTTCTCGGAGGCCTTCATTGTTCTAATTCTCTCCAGTTATATTCATGCTTGCACAATTACTGACATCCTTAATCTCTTTTGTAAACTGACACTTTAATATTTTTGCCCTAAACATTGCCCTTCTAGCAACTATTGTATCTCTCTGAAAGTTTTTCCTGATGTTTTGGAGTTTTATTGTGGTGTAGTTAATTTGGCTTGTTCTTAATATGCATTTTGGAAGACTTCCTTTAATTTTTGGACCCCATTGCTAAAAAGAGCCAATAAAAAGATCATAATACCAGAGTTCAGAAGGAATAGTGCTAAGTAATTAAGAAAATGCCTCCACTTGAAACAGATATATCAATATCCACAGAAGAGCTAGAAAATGCTAAACATCTTACAGTAGAGTGCATTAAAGACATGCTGGGTAATAAAGTAATGTTGGAGCATTTGGAAGATTTCTGGGTGTTGAGATAGTTCATGGAAATGTGTAAACTAAATTGACCACAAAATGAAATTACTGAAGTGAATGCAAAACAATAGAAATTCTCACAATGCAGGAAAAAGGCAAAAGTAGTCAGAAGACTAAAGAGAACCCAGGTATGTTGACACAAGCCTGTAATCCCAGCATTCGGGAGGCTAAGGCAAGAGTATTGCCAAAGTTCAGAAGCCAGTCTAGGCTACATAGCTAGCTCAAGGCCATCCCGAACTACATAGTGAAACCCTTTTTGTAAATAAAAACAAAAGGGAGAGGGGCCTGGGATTTAGTTCAATGGCCCTGCAGCTGCCTCCCAAGCACAAGGTCCTGAGTTCGATCACTGTTACAGAAAAAAAAAAAAAAAAAAAGAGAGAGAAGGAGAGAAAAGCCAACAAGTTCAGTCAGTCCAGGAGATACAAATCTGAACACCTGAAGCAAAGGACAGTACAAATGGGGCTGAAATAATAATTAAGGAACTAAATGAAGAAAATTTTCCAGAACTGAAAAACAAAGTAGACCTACAAATGTAAAAGGATCTAGTGTGCCTTTAAATTTTAATGAAAAAAAACAACAGCTAGACATATCCTAGTGACTTTTTAAAATTTTAAGGATAAAGGAAAAAAATCTCACAAATACCTAGACAGAAAAAGCAGGTTACCTCTAAAAGGGGCAAAAGTCAGGCTGACCTTAGATTTTTCCTCTTGGAATTCTAAATGGCAGGAGACAATAGAACAATATCTACAGAGTTTTAAGGGAAAATAATTTTGCACCAAGAATTATATACCCTGCCAAATTACTATTTCTGTATGAAGGTAACTAGAAGACATTGTCAGATATCCAGTGGTTAGGAAAGTCTATCAACCAAGAACCTTCTCTGAAATTTTGCCAAATGATTTATTGTACCCAACAGAGAACAAGAATTTAAAAGAAAGAATAAGAAAGTGTATGAAAAAATTGATAGTAAGCATTAAAATTAGTTAAGCACAAAGTCTAAAATTATCACATATAAGGTAATAAAACTAAATGCAAAAATAGATTTTTAAGCTAGATCTAAAATTTTCAGTGTATGTAATTCTAAACTGTCAAAAAGTATGCCAAAAAAAACCCCAAAAAACAAGTATGCCAAATAGTGTATTGGGCAAATAAATACTGTTATTTTTGCCATGCAGTATTATAGTTAAAGATGCATGTTGTTAAGCCAAATGTGTATAAAATTTGCACTTGATTTTAGCCAAAAGGCCGAGAAGCACTTAAAATAAAGATACTTTGTCACTGTGGACAGGACAAGTACAGTAAATATTCTAAATGTTAATCTGGCAAAATTGGAAAATGGTAGTTTTATTTTTCTTGTTTAATTACAAAGGAAAAAACTGGCAAGTTTGTCCCTAATGTTAATATTGATAGTGTAAGAAGAAAATTTCCAAAGCACGGGGTTGGAAAAAAGTAGACAAAACTTTGTTTGATGTGCTGTATTGGAAAAAATGGTAGTTACTGTTTCATATAGTAGTTCTTATAAGTCAATTTGTTATTGATTTGTGAACAAAAAAACACATTCCAAGTTTTTGGAATTAAAAAGTGAAAAACCAAGAAAAAGTAGCAAAGAAAAATGGCAAGGAAGCATTAAAATTAGCATAAAAGAATTGACAGAGATAGCAGTGAGTTATTCTCAAACTGGTTAAATCCTTGGTGAAAAAGATCCAAATTGAGTCAAAAATCAGTCTCTGACTCACAATGTTCACATTTATGTAAGATAAATGCTAAAAGTGATTATAGAAACCCTTAAGGTCATAGAAATGGAGATCAACATTTTTATTAGGCAGAAATCTGGATGTTTGTTACAAGGTATTTTACATGTAAGAAACTAGTAAATAACATGGCATTCATATGTAAGATCAATACATATATTTGAAAACATGCATTTGAAATTAGTGGATTTCATGTACTTATATTCATTGAATAATCCTTTAGTTAAAAAGAATACATGTAGCAAAAATATGAATTTTTATTTTGATCTTTAGTTTTTAAGGAAAAATGTTATTTTTCTTAAATTACTGAAATCACAAATGATTATATTTGCTGGATTTTAATCGTATCATCTGTGCTTTTCTTTTTTGTCTTTTTAAACCTTTCCTCTGGCATCATTTTAAACTTTAGCACCATTGTAGAGCACAGTTTTACATTATAACCTGAAAGAATACTGAGATAACAAATTAAATGTGCTCATAGCGTTTTTTTCTTCTATCCTCACCTAACTTTGAACAGGTAATGGAGAGTGAAGAGTTCATGTTACTTCCAGCCAATCAACTCATTGATATAATATCTAGTGATGAGCTAAATGTTCGCAGTGAAGAACAAGTATTCAACGCAGTGATGGCCTGGGTCAAATACAGTATTCAAGAAAGACGCCCTCAGTTACCCCAGGTAAAAATAGAAATGCTCCTCTAAGAAAACTAACTGCTTTGTACTAGAAGAAACATTTCTGTACTTGTCTTGCAGAAATGCTGTAGTTATTGCTCTCTTGTATTAGACCGTAAGAAAATCTGTGTTTCCAAATAATCAAGGGAGTGTTAGAAGCATTTTGATTAATTGTCATTGTGAACTTTTTGCCCCTTTACCTCCCTTCTCTTTTGGATTCATTTTATATTTGAGCTATGGTGCAATTCAAAACTTAAATTATATAAAATGGACAAAAAAAGCAAGGTCTGTCTATCTATATCTATATCTATTAATTTGGAAATCCTGCCACACTTTGAACAGTAAAGAGATGAATGGGAGCATGAGCAGTCACTGAGTAAAATGTTTAAGACTCATTCTTCTCTTTAGAACTACACCGTAGTCCCCTCCTTATCCGCAGAGGATACATTCTGAGATACTCAGCAGAAGTCTGAAGCCTTCAAGCCCTATCTGTACTTTTTCCTACATATACATACCTATGGTAAAGTTTGATTTATAAATTAGGCACATAAGAGATTGACAACAGTGAATAATATGGAAAAATTATAGTAACATGCTGTAATAAAAGTTACTTAAAACTTAGAAATTATTTATTTCTGAAATTTTTCATTTAGTATTTCTGACCAAGGTTGACTACCAGTAGCTGAAACCACAGAAAATGAAATTGTAGAGGAGGGACTACTGTGTTCTTTAGCAGTGTAACAACGTATTCTTCCAGATTGTTAGTAATTTGAGTCTAGTTATAGAAAAGTTTATAAGACATTGCTGAAAGCTTAAAGTAGCATTCTAACATGAAATTAGTATGCTTTCAATTTCTAGTTACTCTATGTTACTTAATTGGTGGTTAGAATAAATTTTAATTTTAGTATTTATGCTCTCCATCCTTCTTCCTAATTTATCATGTTCAGTTAGATCTCTCATCACTTTGAAGCACAATATGGGGACCATGGGTTGTGTTTTCTCTTAAATATCTTGTAGGTGGGAGCTCGTGCATCTAATAGTGTTTATTATCTCATAGGTGCTGCAGCATGTTCGTTTGCCTTTGCTTAGTCCAAAGTTCCTGGTGGGCACAGTAGGCTCTGATCCCCTCATTAAAAGTGACGAAGAATGCAGGTATGAGTGGCCCTGGATGGGAAAAACCAGTGGCTGAGCGTTTCTATGTAATTTTAACCTCCTTAAATGGTATTGCTTCTAAAATATTGTATTTCTTAGTGCTAAAACTACGGCATTATTTTAATAGGTTTTCTTCTGGACTAGAGTCAAGAGGAGGGGAAGGAAGGAGAGCAAACTGAACGTCCAGTACTTCATTCCATTCATTTTTTATGTGTGGTGCTTATTGGTATAGAAGTAGCAATAGAGAGGTAGATTTCTAAGATGATAGTGCAAACTTGGATTTGAAGAAGCAATTCTCTGCCATGTTTACCTTGACATAAATACTGCTGACTCTGTGTCAGTGAGCACTTTTCCTTCCCTCATGTGTGTCTCCTCAGGGAATAGGACCAGCCTTGCTTTCTAAGATTGCGGACAGTTAAAGATCTGTCATCTCCTAAAGTAGCTTTGGAAAGATTTCCATTTGAGCTAGTTTCCAAATTTTTTTACCACCTCACCAGAAAAAAGAAAAAGCCTAAGGGCTGGGGATTTAGCTCAGTGGTTCCACCACCTGCCTCGCAAGTCCAAGGTCCCAAGTTCAATCCCCGGCACCCCCCCAAAAAAAGGAAAAAGCCTATATTACTAGGCTAACTCTGTAATATATACAGTTTAATAAGTTAATTTATCAGTTTTGACACTTTAAGATTTAGATTCAATCTAAAACCATTTGGCTTTTTTTTTTTTTTTTTTTTTGGTGGTACTGGGGATCAAACTCAGGACCTTACACTTGCAAGGCAGGTGCGGTGCGACTGAGCTAAACACCCGGCCCTCATTTGGCATTCTTAATGGTTTTTTTGCCCAGATGTTCCAAATATAAAAGTGAAAGAACAAGTCACTGCTCAGAATTCCTCAAACTACACTGATCTTCTCCCTTGATGATTAAAGCAATTATTCTAGAGCTGAGGTGAAATGTACATGTTCATTGTATTTCTTCTACAATCTGAAGCCTGTTCCTTTAACAGGAGATGTTACATAAGGTTTTAGGTGTTTGGCTTTTACATTTTCAAAAAGAGACAAATGACAATACCCCCTGAATATTTGCAATATAGCAGAAAGTAAAACTAAGCTGAAATCTGAGGAACAAGTATATGAATGTCCCTCCTCATTAAGCATTAATCAAATTGTATTGATTCTAATGCAGAAAGTAAAAGTAGTTGTGAAAACACTTTTAAAAGAAGACCTTTCTTGATATCCTAACATCACTATTTATTAATTGTATGACCTTAGGCAAATTATTTTAACCTCTTTGTACTGAAGCCTCTTTGGCTATAAAGTAGGAATAATAATAGTGCCTGTTCCATACAGGCCTTTTGTGAAGATCAAATGAGTTAATACATATTAAATAACTATATATATATATACATATATATACATATATATACACACACACACACACACACACACATATATATATATATATATATATAAAGAACTTAAAACTGGGGCTAGTAGTTGTATTATTACATTTTTTTTTTTTGCCTTGCTAAGTATTAGCATTGAGATAATCTTTTCTAGGAACTCTTGACTGACTTAAAAACTGGCTGTTAGGAGATCAAAATATTTTAAGTATGGGAAGGTAGAAAAAAACCTTAATTATTGAATTACTAATGTTTGTGTGTATGTGTGTGTTTAGAACAGATAAGTTTAGAAGGGGCTTTAGCAAAACCTTATGTTGGAAAGTGCAGTATTGAGTCATACATGGGACTAGTCCAGCAGGAGTACATTACTCTTTGTAGCAGAGTGACAAGAGAAATGAAAATATAAAATGCTTTAGGAAACACTTTGAGTTGAGGAAAAACAAAATTTACACTGATCAGGCACTGAATACTTAAAGGACTCAAGTGAAATAAGTATAGACATAATAGTTTATTTTAGGATATTGTATTTAACAAGTGTAATTGTCAGATTCTTAAAATACCTTAATTAAAAGAAATTTTTGTTCAGCTCAGTAGACTTCTTGAGATTAATATGTTCCTGCCGGATTGAACCAGTGATGATGGTACATGCTTGACTGTCCCATTGGGCAGCCTGTACCACTGCTGATGCAAACTGATTTAATCACTTTTATCTGTCTTTTTACTAATAAAATTAATAAAAAGCCACCCAGTGGGACAGTCATGCATGTACCACCAGTGGTTCAAGCCACTCCATAGCGAGACATACAGATTATGGCCTAATTATGAACGTGTTAATCCATTAATATAATAACAGATAGTAAATTAGTACTAAGTGATTTTACACTGTTTCTTTTTAGTAAGCAATATTTGACCCAGTTTATTACTGTATTTAATTTAGCAAATAGCTTTTGGCTGATGTGCTATTTTTCCATTATCCAACAGAATCTAATAAAACTCATTAAAAAGTAGTGACTATGTAGGCTGGTAATCTAGTTGTAGTTTTTAGTTTTTCATAAAATATTTAGAGCTGTACATATGTTGAGCCTTAAGCTAAATTTACACTGAGCTATAAAGTCATTATGGAAATACCAACCAGTTTACAATTTGTAGTGTAACTATCATTGTTTCATGTTTGTGCTAATTTTAATATTGTCTGCCATTTATGATTTGGTTTGATTTATACTTGCTCTCCTTTGCCAACCTACATTTTCCTAAACTGTAATGAGACTTGACTGACAATGTTAGACGTTTAGAAAAAAGGCAATTTTTTTTTCTGCAGAGATCTGGTAGATGAGGCTAAAAACTACCTCCTGTTGCCTCAAGAACGACCATTAATGCAAGGACCAAGAACAAGGCCACGGAAACCTATCCGATGTGGAGAAGTACTCTTTGCAGGTTTAAATCTTAATATACTGTGACTAAGCTAAATATTTTCCCACATAATTTGAATAACCATTTGAGCAGTAGTGACATCTGCTGACGTAAGAAACTGTCATGATAAATCAAAATAAGTACCTTGACTCTTAACCCATGATCCAAAAGAATGCTCTTTTATATACATCTAAAAATATCATGCAGTGAATGGTTTTTGAAATTAGTCACATATATTAATTTGTTAATATTAATTTACCGATGTACAGGTCACTTCATAACTTCATGGAGTTGCCAAAAAAAAAAATCTTAGATTAACATTTACACTTTTCTAGCTGTGTTGACCTAGGTTGAACCCAAGACAACTTGCTGTATTGTATTATTTTACTCCTACTGTCTGCCACTAAATCTTTGAGATCTTTCAATTTCAGACGTTTCCATTCTAGCCATGTAAATCAGTTCCTTGTTCACCTGAACAGGGGCTTTCTCCACTGTGTATTAAAACTTTTTATAAGAACAGTATTCCCTACTTCAAAGATCAAAAATGCCCCAAAATCTTTACTAAAAACGTTTTGGATTTTGAAGCATTTTCACATTTCAGATTTTCAAATTAAGGATGCTTAGCTAATTAAAAAAATAAAAAAACTATGCAAATAATCCAAAATTTGAGAAATTCCAAAATCTGAAACAATCCTGGTCCCAGACATTTCATATAAGAGGTACTCAATGTGTACTAGTTTGTTTAGATTCCTGATTCATGGAGCTATCGGAGACCTATCTTAGTCTTTCTATTTAATCATCCAAGTTTCAATAAGGGAATATTTTTCTTCAAGTATGTTGCTTAACACAAACTGAAAATTCTCGGGGCTGGGACCTCCATTTTGCTAATTGTAGAGTGTAAGTCTCCATGGTCTACCATAACCAAATGGAAGCTGGAAGTCCAAACTCAGAGTGCTGGCAAAGTTGACATTTGATAAGGCCTGTCTCCTCATGCCTTCCCCTCCATCTCCACATGCCTCTTTTTTTGTGTGCAGAGGTGTAAAGAGAGAGCTCTCTGGTGTCTCTCCCTTGTGCAAGGACTCTAGTCCTGTAGGATAATGACCCTATCCCTATAACTTCATTTAACCATAATTTCCTCTTTAATGGCCTGTCTCCAAATAGAGTCACATGAAGCTTTGGCTTTAATATTTGAATTTTGAGGAGAGGCAGTTTACTCCATAATACCCAGTTATGTCATTGTTTGCTGCCTTGGAAATCATAAGGCACAAAAAAATCACAATGGTGCAGTAATATTAAACAGACTTTTTTTCTTGTTTCCCAGAGTCACAGGAAAAATTTAAATTTGGCTTCCTAAAAGCCTGTTTTTTCCTTCGGTGTTGAAGAGCACCATTTATAAAGTGATGTTTATTTGATATAGACTCATACAATCCATTTTAAAATTGTGCCTAATTAATGATTAGGGTATTTGATTGGTCTCGGGTGTTATAAACTCATATTTTCAGCCTAGTGTTATTTTAGAATTTAGGATGCTTTCCCTGTTACTGAAATTCCATGGATTTATCAATTACAGAATTCAAATTTAAGAAAATGACTATACACAAAACTTGCCATGATTTAGTATTGAATATTTTTATTCAATTTGTTCTTGTTTTTGTTTTTTTAAGACAGAGTCATGCTATGTAGTTCAGGCTGGCCTTGAACTCACTATGGTGCCCAGGCTGGCCTCAAACTCATGGCAGTCCTCCTGCCTCAACCTCCAGAGTGCTGAGGTTACAGGCCTGTACCACCATGCCCAGCTGAATATTCTTATTTAAATTAAACCATAATAAAATAAAATTTATGTATCATTGAGATTTGAAATAAAGTGAACTCTTAAATTTCGTCTGGAAGATGCCCTTTTAGCCTGGCATAGGATGTTTTGAGGTGACCATACCTTTATGCTTAATTTTTTAAGCTACAAAATCTAGCTCTTATTTGGATTGAGAAAGAAAAATTTTGTAGATAAACCAGGCATGGTGGTGCACACCTGTAATGCCTGCACTCAGGAGGGTGAGACGGGAGGATCACCATAAGTTTGAAGCCAGTCTGAACTACATAGCAAGACTCTTGTCTCCAAAAAAATTGTTTTCAGTAAATAAGCCATAATCACACTTTTTTTCAAGTGTCACTCAGAAAACCTTAATGGAACTCAATTTGAAACTGTTTCTCTGAATATTACTCACTGTGCTCAGTCTGGCATAACAGAATAGCATAGTCTGGGTGAGTAAGTGAAACAAGAGATTTGCTTGCTCACAGTCCTAGAGACTAGAAATCCCAGGTTCTAGCCAGCTCGATTTCTGGATACTGCAATCTGTATTTTAGCCTGCATGGCCCCCAGTGAGCTTAGCAGTGAGACGCTCTGTGCTTTAGGGCAGGTGTTCTCTTAACCATTTCTGTTCCTTCCCAGTTGGCGGTTGGTGTAGTGGAGATGCCATTTCCAGTGTGGAGCGATACGATCCACAGACCAATGAATGGCGAATGGTAGCTTCAATGAGCAAAAGACGATGTGGAGTTGGGGTCAGTGTCCTGGATGACCTGTTATATGCAGTAGGAGGCCATGATGGATCCTCTTATCTCAATAGTGTTGAAAGGTAAGGTTCATTTGAAATTTTTCTCTACTATTCCTATAGTTTCATTTGGGATGTTAGTTAAGAAATGTGATTTCTCGATATGCAACCATTTAGCTATAAATGACTCTAGTTTTTCATTCTTTATGGCTGAGTAGTACTCCATTTTATTAAAAAAACCACATCTTCTTTATCCAGTTTCCA